TGTGGACTCTTTTTTTTTTGTACAGGGACCTTCCGGTTTCCGGATCCACAGGGGAACCGACTTAATCCGGAATCGAGCTGGGTAGGACCACAAGGGCGGCAAAGCTCCATGTGGACTCTTTGGGGAACCTCAGCTTCTACCACTTAAAGTCACACTTGGTCAAACATGAATGCCTCTCAATCAATGCCACTCAAATGATGATTAAAGAGTGACATGTAGCTCTACTCTTTCCCCACCAAAGGGAGAAAATAATAATAATAATAATAATAATAATAATAATAATAATAATAATAATAATAATAATAATAATAATAATAAAGAAAAAAAGTCACTGCAACACAACACAACACAACACAACAAGGAAAGCTAATTAACATGAGAAAACTTGTTTTCTTGTTCCTACATCCATATAGCATTGGCCTTGATGAGCAATGGCTTGAGCTTACCCTTGACATTGAGGCTCATGATCTCATTAGAGCCACCGATGAACTCTTGCCCTATGAACACGGCCGGTACACTCGGGTCGCACCCTAATGCCATCAATGCCTTCTCCACTTGTCGTCCATAAGGTAAATTATCGAGTTCATAAACAACAGGGCTTGCCCCAAAACCACGTATTAGCATGACTATTGCGTACGACATGCAACAATTGGTTTTGCTAAATACCACCACCGGACTGCCGGTCCCTAATTCCATCACGTACTTATCCATTTAAATATTTCTAAAGGATAAAAGAATACAAGTTTGTGATAAAAAGAAAAACTAAAAATCAGATGTGTGTTTTATGGTACTTTGTAGTGTGTGGAGTGAAGTAGAAAGTTGAGCTTTGTTTGAGCTCTATATAGGGTGAAGATAATGATGAGCCGAAAGTTACGCATGAATTGAATGCAGAAAACATGAAGGAGATAAAAGATAAAAAAAAGGAGGCATATACATTTTTTTCCTTCACTTTTCAAGACATGTGTTGGGAGTGTTTTTCTTGATCATTGGATTTGAGTATACAGAGAGAGATTTTTTCGAAATGTGAATTCAATTTTAAGTTCTCCAATCGGGCACGTATCATGTTGGACACAAAGATATAATTGGTTGTGATATGGTCAAGCCCAAAACGAATATTTGTCATTAATTAATTATTATAGGGGTGAACATGGGTCGGTACGGTTCGGAGATTGAGAATTCTGTGGAACCGCACTAAAATTCGGATATCACTGAATTCGATTTCCGTAATCGTACCACAAAATAGGGACGTTTTGGTTCGGAGATTTTTACTTTTAGGTTCGGCTTGGGATTCAGAACTATCGGAGGTTCGGTTCAGTTCGATTCAATTAGTATCTTCGGAGATTTTTTATTTTTTTTAATTTTTTTTTGAATGTACCAATTGTAAACTGGAAACAATTAAAGGACGAAAATGCAACGAAAGTATAGTTAGTGGACGAATGATGCAATTTTTCCTTAAAAAAATAAACATTCATCAATACTTCTTCATATTAGAGATTTATTTTGAAATCAACTCTAGAATTAACTCTAAATTTTTTATATTGAAAATTTTAAATTCAAACGAAATATAATATATTTTTTTTAAAAAAAAAAAATATTTTTTAACCTTTCATACCATTTTCGATAAATTTTATAACATGAAAACTCAACTGTAAATCAAGTATTACAAAACATGAGATTTAAGTGAAACTTAATTGTTATTATTCTATTTTATATGCATTTAAAATTTCTCAAACTACATAGGATCAAAGTTGACATAAACTATACTAATAACATACATCTAATGTTATAATTCAGTTCTTAATTTTGGTTCTTCGGTTAGGCTGGGTTCTCCGTACGAATATTTGTGAAATCTCCAGAACGGTACAATTATTTTTTCGGTTCGGTTCAGTTTCGGAGAAAGTCAAATGGACAACGATTATTTTTTAATTCAGAGTGATTTCAGTTCGATTTTCGAAACAGTTCGAAATTTTTCGAGATTCATGCTTTGCCCTAATTAATAATAACTTGAAAGTTTCCACTTATGTATTTCTTTGATTCATGTTGGACTTAATTTAATAATAGAAAAAAAGAAAATATAGAAGTGTGTTAGTTAGACATTTGTCTAAAGAGTCCGTCTTAAACTTTTCCAACAAAAGGTTTGAAACTCCGAACAAAAGAAAAGCAACACACATGACGAATGATTAAGCATGATTGTGAGTGTTTTAAGGTTGTCACGTGGGATGTATAGAAAAGGATTAACTAACAAATGTACATATTATGTAAAATTTTACTGTTTTGCTATGGACCTATATGGTGTCGTGACACGACTTATCCACACGTATTCACAAATAGTGTATTGACACATGTCCTACAATAAATATACTTTGAACATGTGTCGATACTTTAAGTAATGGATGACTCCATATAATTTTTTTTAAAACTCGTTAACTCAAATTTAACTTAAATCTTTTCTCTCACCCTTGGAAAAAAACCTCATATTAAAAAAATAATAAATAAATAAATAAAGCAAAACCTTGGATATTTTTTCTCAGTTGAGTCTTCTTCTTACCGTTGAGCTCTCCGGTCCTCCGCGTCGTTGACTCGCATTGGGGAAGCCTCCTCGCTCCCGATTGTTTGCGTTCTCCTAATGTGGAGCCCCTTCCTCGGAGGACAGCTTCGATGGGTACATTACGACTAGGAGCTGCAAATGAGGTTGTGGGCGATGCTCGCCGGCCTCTTTGATATATCACCTTGAAGAGCTTAGAGAACCGACTAGAGTGGTTAGCTCGCGTTAAGCCAGTCCAAATGAGCTCAAGCTCAGTATCAGTGTATGTTCTAGTTAGTGAGCTTGTTGACACAACTCAGGGTACTAGTCAACCTGATAAAGGTTGTCTAGAGGTCGAAACATCCAGGAGCTCTATTGCACAGAGTGACCTCGCAATGCAGGGTCGAAGAAAAGTGGTCGAGGTGTCGACCAGGCATAGCCTAATGGCAGATAGGTTAAGAGGTCGAGGCTATGACCTATGGACCTGAATGTTGTACGGTAAGAGGTGAAAACAATCTGAGTACAAGGGAAAGTGTATCTCAAAAAGATGAGGAAGTGTGGTAAGTTAGAAAAGCATATATGTTACATCTAGACATGGCCAAAGGCTGCCCGGCCAGCCGACCCGGCACGGATCCAGTCCGGTCAAACCCGATAATCCGCTTTTTCTAATTTTTTTTTATTTTTTTCTATTATTTTTTTTTAAATTGACGGGCCCAGCCCGGTCAACTGGGCCATCGACTAGACATGAGTATAGGTCCGTGCCGGGTCAGGGTCGATGTTTTGGAGCCCCGCGGCCCGGCGCCGTGACTCGGCCCAGGTTTTGGCCTTGTCTAGTTACATCTCTTTCCTAAGAAGGACTCTCTTAGGAATCATGTTACACTCCTATAAAGGGGGATCGGATTTTGTATTATTTCAATAAGACATTCAGATACACATTGCTTACAATTTCACTGTTCTATTCTCTCAAGCCCGTACTGACTTGAGTGTCTAAGGTTTTCCGTCACAACTCCTCTTGATGCATTGTGGGTTATTGGAGCTCCAATTTCAGACAAATTCGCACATCAAATGGTCGCCCTCTATATGAAATCTCTAGTCTATTACCGACTATAAGGGAAAATTTGGCATTTCTTACAAAATATTTTCTAGGAATACAAAGATCATAACAAGTGATAGTTTTAAGAAAAATTTGACTAAGGAGTTAGACGAGATGTCGGCATCGCGAATGATAGGGACGCAAGGTGTTGAGGCACAACATCATAAAAATTTAGGGCCTAATCGATTCAACAATAGGTAGAAGGACAATTGTTTGACTATAGGGGACAAAAGGTTCCCAGGGGAGACTATGTTATCCAGCTCACCAGGGCACAGTTGCACGGAATCGTGGTTGGGTTCATGGCCCAAGCTCGGAAACCTCTTTTGTTCATGCTTGAATTTGACACACACAGGTCCTTCGTATAAAGATTGTATAATTTCTTTATGTCATGTTTGAAGTTTGCATAATTGAATCGAAAAATGTTAGAGATTGAAATTTCAAGTTTGATTTTTCATATTGGAATTGGAAGTTTTGATTGTGAGTGTAGCATGAATTGTGTTTGATCACAGACCTTATTTTTCGATAAAGGTTGTGAACAAACCTTTAATATTGTTCAATATATATAGCTGAACGAGGAAGATGATGGTTTGATGTGGATTTTTAAAATATGTGAGTTAGGATTTTATTAATGTTTTAATTCACCGGCCATATCATTTATCCAGTGCTGGAAATAACACTCATGCTTCGATTTACAACACAAAAGTAAATTCGTGATTTAATTGATAATTTTTGAAGGTGATCAAGATTAATTTGCAAATGCTTAAAAGGTGATGCATTTTATGCAATTTTATCTAAAATCAAATATAATTTCTCTCTCATAATTGCTCTCTTTTGTATGATTATTACCACTATGTTTGGTAAAACTAGCTGATAAGCTAGCTATGAGTGATTTTTGAGGATATGTTTGGTAAAACTAGCTGATATGCTAGCTGATAAGCTAGCTTATAATTTATAAATATTTTTGCTGAATAGCTAGCTTATATGATAAAATTGCTTGGTAAAATTAGCTGATAAGCTAGTTGGAATAAAAAATTCAACTAGTTTATTTGAAAAGCTACCTAAGAAAACTTATCAAATAAGCTCGAGCTTTGTAAAAAACCTTGTCCTACCAAACAAGTCTTATTTGAATATAAAGAGCTTATAAGCTAACCAAATAAGCTATAAGGTAGCTTATTTGTCTACCAAACATAGCCCGTGTATAGATTATAACTTATTAGTGATTTTCGAGCTTATGACTTAAAGCATATGACTTATAACTGAAAAACTAACTTATATGATAAAAGTGTTCGGTAAAATTATTTGATAAGCTAACTGAAATAAAAATCCAACAAGCTTATTTGAAAATATACCCAAAGAAGCTTATGAGATAAGTTCGAGTTTTTTTTTTTAAAAAAAAAATATTCCTACCAAACAAAACTTATTTGAATAAAAGAAGTTTGTAAGCTAACCAAATTAGTTATATGCTCATCTCCCTATATATTAATCCGAGAAAATAATTGTGAGCAACCTGACTATACGTGATTTTGGGATTTGCAACTTAAAGTATTTTTTTTGGTAAAATGCAACCTGAACTACATACACAATCACTATTTGCACCCTCGCCCGATCAATAGCAAAAAAGGGTTCGTGTATGGTCAAGATGTGGTCCAGGGTGCAAATAGTGATTGTGTATGTAGTTCAGGTTGCATTTTACCAAAAAAAATACTTTAGGTTGCAAATCCCAAAATCACGTATAGTTCAGGTTGCTCACAATTATTTTCCCTATTAATCCAGAACGCGCTGAACCTACGTGGCTGCTTTTGGTGCTTTGGAATCCTATGTGGCAAAATTACATGCTTCGTTATTAGACTTGGGAAAATTTTACATGCTTCGTTATTAGGCTTGGGTAAATTTTAATTTAATTCCAAATCAAAAATAATTAGGTTCAGATTACCATAGATATGTTGATTATTTATGGTCATGTTACATGTATTAATTGCATTTTAATATCATTCCTTATTATAACTATTGAATTATATATATATATATATATATATATATATATATATATATATATTTTAAAAGTTAATAACTTTTGTATTTTTTATCAGTTTA